AAAGGAGTTCTTTAGAAAATAAAGACATCAATATTGTTATGTTTGTTATAGATATTTCCTCAGTTTATTCAACATTAAATTTAAAAATATTTACATAAAAATGTAAAACTTGGGGCTCGACGGTTAGCTCAGTTGGTTAAAGAGTGGTGTTGTAACACCAATGCTAAGGGTTTGGATCCCCATAGTGGCCAGCCACCAAAAAAAAAGAAGAAAAAAAAAAGGTAAAACTTATAGTCAAATTATCAAGATTTTCCAACACTTTTAACCCTTCCCCACTTTAAGAGCAGATAAATATTCACCTATATGTTCTCCCAGTTAGTTTGTGGTTTCTTCTTATTCCTTTTAACTATTGTTTTACATTTAACTTTTAAATTCATTTTTATAATTTATTTTGGGAAAAGATCATTGATTTTCCAACAGGAGCACTTTAGAGGTAAAAAAAAAAAATTTTTTTTAAAGCAAAACAGCATCGAGTCAGATAAAAAACAAACTCATTTTAAAATTCTGTGCATCTGAAGGAAGAAACTGAAAACTAGTTTCTTTTTCCCCCTCACCTGCTTTGTTCAGTTTTGCTATTTACAGGAAGGCTCAAGATAAAATGGGAAGGCAATCTTGGAGCAAGGTGATTCTTACATACCTGGATAACATCGGCAGGCTTATTGATGTGTTCTTTAAAGATCAAGATGGTGGGGGCATAGACATTGATATTGTACTGCCTCGTCATCTCTTCTGCCCCTCTCAAACCGACATATACATATCCAAATGATAAATAATCTTTGTATGCAAAAGCAGTCAACTGTTAGGGCATAACAGAGAGAAAGAAAGTGAAATTGACAGCACAGCACCTAAATTACAAACCAAGTAGAACTTGTCCTCATCACTGGGTGGAGATAAATGCCAGCCTACAGAGCCCACTGGGTCTTCTACGCCCTTGTACACTCCCAGGACTTCTATGGTGTTCATACACAAAAACTATACCAAAAAAGCTACACACAACTAATTCTTTTTTTTCACACATAAAGCAAAATAATCATCATCTTATTGAGATCTTTACTGGATGGGAGGCATGGAATGTTTGGGGAATCATACCTGTACCCCAACTACGTAAGATGGTAGTGACCATGCCAATGGTTAGGACACTTTTATTTCCCATCTCATGTCACAGTGATGATGAGAGGTGTGCTGAAGTCAGCATAGGACATATCAGTCTGAGGGCAGTCAGGCTTCAATGGGAACTGCATACTTACCACCAGGCTGTACTGAGACCTTGGGTAGGATGTACAACTTACTCTAAGCCTCTTGCATTTTGATCTATGAAATAGGATAATATTCTACCACTGGGTTCTT